TACGTAATAATATAAAGTGATTAATGTTACAAACATTAATAAATATTTTTTTAATTCAATTAAATTTTGAATTACTATATAGGTAAAAGTTCTAAGAATGGAGGAAATCTCCCTAAAGATAATAGATTGGAGAATATGAAACATTTAGTTGAAGGGTTTATTATTGAAAAATAATAAAAAATATTAAAATGAAATAACTTAAAATTTTTCAACATGAAAATAATTGAAATTTATAAAATTGATTATAAAATAAAATAAGTAAATCATAATATTATTTATTAGAGCCATAAGTATTCAACCTAAATGATTTACGTAATGAAGTATGAATTAAGCCTCCTAAATCTCCAATGATTGATAAAACAATAAATGTTAAAAGAAAATTAAAATTTAAATTATATGACATCAATATTAAAGGAGCAATTTTTTGTTATGATAGTTAAATAAAAACTGAAAAGGTACAGCTCCTCTTTTTAATAATTAAGCTGATAAAATAAATAAATGATTGAAATTATTATGTGTTATTCAATTATTATTAATAAATTATATTATTGAAATAATTGTAAATAACAGGATTGATGAAGCAAAGGCTTGAGTTAAAAAAAAATAATCTGCTTTCTGAGAGTTGGTTGGAAATGCTATCTAACATGAAGCTTTTAGTGTGATAATTTATTAGTTAGATAATGGTCTTTAGGAGAGGGTATACCTATAGGTAGATAGTTCCGTTAGAGTACAGCAGTATGAAAATTATTTTCGTTCGTAACTACGTTTCATGTGATCAATTTTCCCCCGATACTACATAAAAACAATACCAATCAATAAACATAATTGGAAACACCCATTTTGCTTCAATGTAAATATCAATGCTTTAAAATCAATCTTCTTAAGAATATTACTTTTGATGATCAGCAAACAAAAATAAGTCAGCCATTCATTAGTTTGAGTTATTCTCAATGTCCTTTATTTGCAATTAATCTAAACTATTTTGCTGAAAGATCTTTTACCACCACTCAACAGTTGCAACAAGCTCAGATATATTGGCAGACCAACGTATAAAATTAAATTAGATTTTCAGAACTAAATGTCATGATTGAACGTAAAACGAAAATTATTTGCTATACATAAAATGGGGGGGGGGGTTGGGGGCTAGCTAAAGGGCTCGGGGCAATGGCCCGCCCCAATTGCCTCCTCCTTTGATCTTGAGATTAATCTAGCATTAATCTATCTATTTTAATGATTTAAAATTCAATTGAGCATAATGTTAGCTTTCTATATAAAAAAAGAAATTAAAGATGCTCCAAAGAACGAGCCATCCTGATATCCATTGAAAAATGTCAGCATGTACTGTAATTTAAAGCACTTCTCATGTCCTCAAGGTTACGATTTTCTAGCTCGAAAAGATCATTGAATACTCTCTCGAATAGTCAGAGATTGTCTATTTTTTGCCAGGTCAGGGCTTTCTATCTTGAAGTTTTGACAATTATTTTTGTCTCATAAACTTCATTAACCCCCAAAGTTTCAAATCTCAAAATGCTTTTCTGAAGTCTAATGTCTTTCAGGTCGGAGATATTTATTCCATAGTTTGTAGCTAAATTCAACCTAAATTAATCTTTTCGCTTTTCTTCGCTCACCCTTCATACCGTGCGAACACTTTTAAGTAACATAAAACTTATATTCTACCAAATTGAAAAATAATCAGTGTATTTATCTTATCAAACCGATAGTCAGGACAATTAACATTAGAGCACCTTAGGAAATATGTGCCGTTTGTTTGGGCAAAGCTACCGCGCAAACAGCGGAGGCAATTCCGCTACCGTTAAATATCCCGTGTGTCCGGCCATCGTGCTTGGTGCGCTGGAAGTGATGTACTTTTTCATCTCCTTCGGTGACTTGGCATCTTTCGAATCCATCCATCGAATCCATTCTTCTGCTTTAAACCCAGATTCATGACGGGTACGATTTTCGTCCTGGAGCACTTCCAGTTTGACAACTCAAGAGCTTTGCATAACCAAATCCCTCCTCGCAAACGTCCCGGTGTGCACCTACGTAATCAACCAGCCCATGTGAGTTAAATTCATTCTGAGCTTTCTGAATCCGTTCTTCATGGAAGTCAAAGGTAAAGAGGATCAGTCGCATGTCCGGCGTGTAGAGAATCTGCTTACGATGCGGCAAGGTCTGCGTCATCAGTTCCAGATTAGGCTGCATGCCTAGCCTGTAAAGTTCCATTTAATAAAATTTCGAGGAAATGCAGATTAGTTTCCTACTTAAACACACTTGAAGTAGTCAAACCTTCGATCCATTCTGGCCACTTCCTTCACTTTCAGGGCGCCAAAGTTCGTCTGGAAGTCGTACTAGATAAATTCAAAAATAATTGTTGTTGATTTTCGGGACGGCTTGGATGGCGTATACACGTTCGTCACTGTGAGATAATAACTGTATCTCCCTCTTTAATGATGGATTTCGGTCCGGCGAAGCTCTCGGTAATTATTTATTCGCGTTAAATCAATTAAAACATTAAATGCACTAAACTCAACTGATAAGGTGCGAAAGCAAAAGTTATAATCGCTTATGCTTGTTTATTTCTAGACCAAAAATTGAAAAAGGCGAATCATCCAAACGTAAACAATGACATTAAATGCAAATTTCTCGAGAATCAAAACAGACCCTCGCAAACTAACAATGCCATCCTGCTGGTGTAGAATTTTGCTTGGATGTGCTTTTTTTTCTCGAGAAATTTGCGTTTAAAACCATTGTTTACGTTTTGTTGTTCCGTCTATTTCAAATGTTGATCTAGATTTACACCCTGGCTAAACGAAAGCGAAATGTCAAACTTCGTGCTCGGATGGCAGAGTGTAAATAAACGAGCATAAATTCCACCACAGAGGTGGTCTAACGACGTCTAACCAGCCATACAAAAAAATGTCTAACGTTAGTCTCACGTTAGACTAACATGTTAGATCGAAAAGAGCTGTAACGTCTAACAGATTGTGTCATATCAGTCTAATATTAGACGAACATTAGACTAACGTTAGACCAAATGTTAGTCTAATGGTCTAACGTGTTAGACTAACGTTAGACTCATGTTAGACTAACCTTCCGTGCTGGGGACGATTGAAGCATCCGTCAAAGGGTAGGATGGTGTGGTAGGCGTTTGCAAATAAATATAAAAGCCAAAACACGTCGGGTGTCACGACTACCTAACACGGAAGTTGTGTTCACTGACGGACGATGCCGCAGTGCCGGCCGAGATGGAGGCACGTCAGCAGCAGGTGGCATAAATTATGGCGAAATGAAAACGCTTTGACTCATGTTGGGGGTTGAACCGATGGTTATTCTCGCATTTATTTTTTCCTTTATTTAACGTCGGTCTCTGTTGCGCAATCTAGTGCCAATCACCGACGGAATTCTCGCAATTAAATATTAAAATTTGTATGCTCACGGATTCTTTGTAGGTACATGTGTACTCGTCACTAAGTATACATACTTGAATTTAACGTTTAATTTCGATGTAAATAGCTACACTCGTTACATAAATCACATAACCAGTGAAAAATACCCATGTCCGTACGCATTTGTGGTTTCGGCAGAAAGAACGGCATCCTCGTCTACACTGAGCAGTTCCACGGCAAAAGACGAATCGGAAAAACTCGACCTTCTCCGAATTGCATTGAACTTTGCATAATTGTGTGTTATGGGTAATCATTTTGACATTTTTGCAAAAGTTCGGCCATTTTGGATGTTGTATTTTTTTCACCAAAATGGCGTCTATGCCATTCTTAAATAAATTGTAGCATGAAAATGCCCCTTCTGATCGAAATGACGTCTGAGTCAAAGTTGTAGAGAATAATTAAGTCTTTCTGGTATTACTGTTTTGAATTTGAGTAAAAATTCCAATAAAGTGTTAACTTGAATATTTCAAAAAGTATACCTTCAATTTAAGTATATATATTTTTTTCAAAAGCTCATAAAAATGTAAACTTTTTTAATATTTAAAACTATGGACACCTGAAAATTCACAAAAATCGATGAACAAGAACTTTTGGTCAATTTTGAAACTTTTTGCTAGATCGCTGTTGCATGTAACTTCTACACATAAAACACCATTTGAGTAATTTTAAATCGTTATCTATGCTCAAATAACATAAACAAAGCTTGTTAGCAAGAAGTTTAAAAATATGACCAAATGTTGATGTTCTACGATTTTTGTCGATTTTCAAGTGTCCATGGTTTTAAATATTCCAAAAGTTTGCATTTTTTATGAGCTTTACTCAAAATTACTATAAACAATTACCGTATTAATTTTTCCCAGAAAGACTTTTATTTTCTATATAACTTTTTTCAGACGTCATGTTAATCAGAAATTACTTTTTGGTGTACAATTTATGAAAAAATGTCAATGACGCCATTTTGTGTAAAAAAAAAAAAAAAAAAATAAAGATTCAAAATGGCCGAACTTAAATTAAACTTCAAAATTATGCAAAGTTTCATGCAAATCGGAGAAGGTCGAGTCAAAAATTGGCTCTTTGGCCTCGAATTGGTCCATTCGCTATGTACGTATGATTTTCGACATTCACTCAATCCCAAACGGCTTTTTTACATGCTGACCCTTTGTCCCACTTGATGAGCAATAATATGAACGTTTATTCAATTATAATTATACACTAGCCTACTGTGTAAGCCGCAAGCTTCCTGGTTTTCAATTCTTCGCTGCACAGGTCAATAGTATTTACATTATTTGACAAAACCCAAGTAATCATCGTCTCTCATTAATTTTGTTTCCAATAATTAAGTGTCATGATTATCTAGGAATAGATTAAGAGGTGACAATCAATCACTTGTCAAAGTAATAGAAAATGTCATTCCAATCGAGCTGGAAACCTGTCAAATCGATGAGAGATCATCGCTTTATGCTCTTTAGTCTTGGGCATAATAATCAACAGCAAAACTATCAGTGCATCAGTGACTGACGGTGAAAGGTTATGTAAAAATTGCTATCAACTTACCGGTGCCGGTAGCAGCCAAAGATGTTAAGGAACGCCTGCCGGAAGCGCCGGTTCATGAAACAGTAGGTTATCGGATTGCAGCAGGAGCTGATGTAGGCCATCAGCTGTACCAGGGCAATTCCATTGCTGCTGACGTACTTGTACACAAAAGCCGGCGAGTAAAGGTACACCTGAAAAAGATGGACATTGTATTAGTCGGTGAACTTTGTCATCAAGCGGACAATGGACGGGTAATGGCGTTTAGCTTGTAAGGAGGCCATGTATTGTTCAGTTTACGACAGTGTAAGCATAAGGGGATATGAAGCTATGTAGATATACCCGCATAAACGCGAACCATCTCTTGACCTTACCGATAATGGTTATAAATTGTTTATGATCCCTGCTAAACTTTAACTGAAATGGTTATGGAACTTTACATGAACGTTTGTGTGATAAAGTTTTAACCAGTTAAATCCAAGGGGCGGAGGTGGCTGTCAAATACGAACAATCGTCGCCTACCTCGCATAACTGGTTCCAAACGTAAACAAGCCATAAGAAACCTACAGCGTTTGTTTACGTTTGGAACCAGTTTCATACAAGAATGATCAGTAGGCTGATTTGACAGCACGTTCCCCCCAGGTTAAATCTTGCTGATTTTGGACTTGATGAAAGATAAACAAACTTTCCAGCTAAGTAATGCTGCTGAATCTTCCAGCCATAGGCGTAGCCCTGGGGGCAAGACAGCTTTTTTATCATGAGTAAAATTTGAGTTGATTTTGAGCAACTCTGAGTAACTCGAGTTGCTCAACAAGCGAGGCACAGTAACACAGCAACCTTGTTGTGTTTATTCCCCAACTGTCAAAGAAAGATGTTCAACGGTGATACATATTCCTGAATTCTGCAGCTTCCCATTGTCGAAAGGTGAATCTTGATGAATGTGGGCGCTGAAGTGGAATAGCTGTATAAATAAAGAGAGAAAATGGTGGTTTACAGTGGATAACCATCCATAGGTAGATCCCATGACTGCTTCGTGCCAATCCTATGTAAGCCATTTTCATCCAAATTGTAACCGATGGTTCCAGAATGTGGGCTTGTGACTCTATCACAAGCGGACTCATAATTAACTGTATTACAAATTTGTAGAATGGTCGTCCTGAATCCAACTCTGCTTTTGGTCGCTCACTTTCCCATACCTTTCCATTCGCCTGCGGCATCACTCACTCTCATCAAACCGGGTGACAGCAGGCGCTCATGCGAAAACGACGGGTGAAATAAATATGTAAATACAGCAACATTTCGGGTCTGCTCGTATTTCGTGGTTTTTTGCGGGTAATTGCTTGGCATGCTAGCAGGAGTCAATTTAATTCTGTTCCAACCGCACTCGGGAATAGACTCAGTGCGCGACGTGCTAATTTTCCCAAAGGTTCGCTGAAAGGGCGAGGTAAAAATGTGTAGTGTGGTTTTTTAAATAGCGTGTTTTGTTGTAATTACAGATCTAGGGTTAGTCAAACGAAAAGTTAATAGTGTCAGTCGTGATTAAAAAATATCGTTAGTAAAAGGGGTTGGTAGTGTTAGCTGTAAAAATTAGTATTGAAAAAAATGTGTTCATATTGTTCTTAAATGTTAGGGTAGTTCGACCAATTGTCACCGCAAACTGACGGTTGACTGATACTGTGCAGTTAATCCTAAAACAAAAAGGTAAATTTACGTACATTTATTGTAAATTTGTGAAAAAAATGTATTGTATGGGTAAAAATGCGGTTGGTTTGGTTTGAAAAGGGGCAGGCTTACTAAATGTATATGGCGTGGTTCAAATATGCGTGGTTAGGTCCACAAAGGGCATTTTTCTTTATCTTTGGTAGCGATTGTCCTGGAGCGAGCACCATTTTGTCCGAGGTCAAAGGACAAGCCCGGCATAATTGGAGAGTCCATTTTGGAGAGGCCATTGTGGAAGGGCCACGTTGCAGCGGAAATTGCAACTCTCTATGCTGTTTGTGCTGCCACCGGCGAGAAATTGGCACAAGATACTGGTAGATAATTGCCAGTTACCAGAATCGGGCACATTAGTGATTCGCCAGAGTAACCACCATCCGTTTCACCTAGCGAGTAGAACTTGCTACTGTTTTTCAGTGAATGTAAAATACATAAACTGAAAAACAGTTGCAAGTTCTGCTCGATCTAGTTCGTGATGCATAAGAGATACGGATTTGAGTTGTTAACAATAGTAGCTAATAACAAAGCCTGCAAAAACTCCATGCATTATTTGGCGAAATTCTGTTGATGAAAAAAGTTAGGGACAAATGAATATAAATGAATGTCCGAAATGAATGCAGATGATTTTCCATGCCTGACCCAAACTAATAAATTTTAAATTTTAAGGTAAAATGTCAAATGGTAAACGTTAAATGATCAATGTAAAATGATAAATATAGTTGATCATAGATTGTTGAATATTGAATTTAAATTATAAATTTTTAATGTTTAAATTCAAAATGTAGCATTTAAAATGTTGAATTTTAAATCACAGATTTTAAAATGTTATTGATTTAATTGTTGCTATTTTTAATTTTTAATGCGTAATTTAAATTTTGAAATTTTTAATGATCAATTATAAATTTTACATTTGAAATTTTCATTTTTTAAATATTAATGTTAAAATTTTAATTTGTTTATTATTTGGGACTTAATTCGTAAAAAAGTTTTATAAAAACAATGTCAAATACCTCACAATATGGGTATTATTGGAATCGAGGTGACGTGTAGGGTCTAGGAATCCATCTCTGGCGACATTTTGAAATCCAATATGGTGGCTGCCGGTGTTTTAACGTTGATTTTTAAATTTTTCTTGGTAAATGTTAAATGTTGAATGCACTCCTGCATTGACTTCCAGATGTGCAAGTTAGTTTGAAGATAGAAATTTCACTAAAATTTCCTGTTATAGAGCTCCAGACTAAGGCACGCAATCCGGCACATCAAAAGAGCCACCACCCGGCCAAACCATCAGGAAGCTCTGGTCGCTCAACCTGGACTAGTTAAAACAGCATTACTGCTAATCCGCCTCTAAACTCAGTCCCCAAATACAAATTGCTATAAATTTGAAATGTTTTAATCGAATGAACGCAAACAAATGATGAATTGGGTTGTTTAGGGGTATTGAGGTAAATACATATTTGGTATCTGCAATTAAAATGGAACCGAAATCCAAAATTTCATCAAAATTGGTACGCTGGAACTATTTTAAATAAGTACGATTACATTTGCAAAAATCACCATCTTAGCGCCCCTTGGTGGGACTTTGTATGGAAATCGAGATGAATGTCTGCGGGATCGATAAAAATGTCGAAACATAGGAAAATCCACGAACCGCTCATTTTATCTGTCAAACTTTCATAGCGTATCAAAACAAACATAGTGTAGTACTAGAATTTCGACTAGAATGGGATACGTTAATCGATTTGCTTGGGACCAATAGGCTATTCAAGTAGGAGTCAAATTAAAACCGTTAGTTTCCACTAGAAATTCTCAGAGTGAGAGATGGGCGGAGAGAATGTTTTGAGCCAAATGAATTGTCAAAATCTCAGCCAATCGAACAATACCATTAGAATTTTTTCGAAGATTTCTTATTATTACTAGATTAAATTTGAGTATTGCAATCGAACAGAAGTTCAATCACCTTTGTGCATACTTTTTTTTATGGAAGAGAGGTACACGGAACCGGAAAAATACCCAAAATTAAGCTCTTTTCACTCATCTCCCATATTCCGTTCAATAAGCTATTTTTCAGTAAACCGCTTATAGTAGTTTACATTTGACTACGGCAAAAATAATTACTTACTCGTGAGTATTTTCTACCCTAAATTAAGTTCAACTAACTCAAACTTGAGAATATCTCATATACTCACTAGTAGCTTATTGAACGATAGTGTATGTATGTAATGTATGTATGTAAGGTAGCCACCATCCCTTCAAAGATCTTGTATTGTATGTAGCTCAACTTAATAGCAAGATCAATTTGAGCTACCGAACAATATCGCTGTATGAAGGGCCAAAAACGGAGGTGCGGACCCGTAAGCAGAGACACTTACACGAAATCCAGGGGAATTTAAGAATCTCCTTCCAACGATATGATCCAACAGATCGAATAACACAATTCGCAATACTTATTAAGCTTCCTACAGGATGGTTTGTACAAGGATGGCGCGTCAATCTCACTGAAACTGTTGAAGTAGAATTAACACCACCACAATCGAATCGGTAGGATAAAGAAAATGATAGTGTTTATTCCCTCCTAGACTTCGGTTGTCATACCACTCCATCGTCCAGTTCCAGGTTAAATGATACCCTGATGCTCCCTCCCAATCCAGTATTTATTTATATAACGAAAATATATGTAATGGAGAAATGAAATATATCAGAACATTAAATATGAAATAATGAATTTAAACCTATAAAGATAAATTAGTTGATAGTCTGCAATGAAAATAATAATTATTTTACATATAATAAGATGCAGCTCCATGTTTCCTCAGCTCACGATATCAAGTGGATGTAACACTTAAATTTCAAGGTTATATTAAGCAAATATATATTTTTATCTCTAATTACTAGTAATGTAAGGATGTAAATGTAAAGTGTAAAGTGTGATGTATAACTAACATGACTAACAATAGAATGGAATTACGAGAAAAATAAAGGAAATATTTCACGCGCTATGTTGCAAAGGAATCCATGACATCACGATGATTTCGAAGAGCTCCAATAGATATGCTGCCGCTACTTCTTCAACCGGTGTTAAAAACAGCACTCTTGCCTTTCGGTTCTCACACAGCAGTGCAAACCCCATCAACCGCGAAATACACTCTAGCTGCTCCAACTAGAGGGATCTCAGCAGAGAAAAAAAGGACTGCATCCACTTTCCATCACCAATCATTCGCGACGCCAGCTCCTCACCGGACGAATCAACTCACGGCCAACGCCGAAATCAGAACCAAAAACTCCAGCCACCGAAAACTCACGCGTCTAATAGCGGCCACGGCACACTTCGATTGCATTCCTGAAACACAACCTCAACGCACAAACACGACGATGACAACATTCGTCCGGGAGGCGAAACGCCAGCACGGACAAACAAAGGGAAGACAAAATGCACACACAGAACACGGCACGAGCTTAACTGCTAACGTTGAAAGCC